TGTCTCTATCCCTCTGAATATCTCAAGGAAAGACGAGAGAACCCCCGAGAAGATGGAGGAGGCATCACCTAGACCGACGACAAAACAAAGCCGAGACGAAAGGAGCCCACGGCAAGCGTACCCAGACGCCAGACCCGGCGCGAGCTCCGCCGCTACCACAAGCTAATCTTAGCTTTATATCTCTCCCGGGACGTCCTGTGATTCCCGTGGAGCGCGCGGGGTTTGCTTCGCTGTCAGGTCTCCACGATCCACAAGCACCGACGTGTTGGCAAGGAAGATGCCAGTAAACAACGAATACCGACCCATCCTTAATAGCGAGAAGAATTCAGACAATAATTCTCAAACCTTCTTCTTGGAAGAATGATGATAGGGCTGGTATGTCGCGATCGCATACTCGTCAATTCTTCGTTGTTGATAATGCCAAAGAGGGGATCCCGGCGGAAAGACGGACGGAGCCAGCCTGCTATTTCCGACACATCATAACGGATACATCACAATTGGGAATGGAAAGGATTGAGATGGGGTGGACGGGACGGGACGGCAGGCGTCAGACGTGTCAGCTCCAGACACGCCAGCAGCGGCATGGCTCGCATGCTGGCCGTGATTGGTGGTGGCAACATGTCGGTTGAAGAGAATCGGGAAAGGGAGCGCGACACCATATCTATCTTCGAATGGACAAGGGGATGCGGACTTGGCTATCAATATCATATTGGCCCGCCTGTAGTTGCCCTTCAGGGAGGCGTTGGGGCTGCCTTCAACGGTGCTTGTTGGTTTCGTGCCAGATGTGACTCTCCAGGTCGGCAGCGAGTGGTACACCGCAACAGGGTGATGGTGTGCGCACGTAGATTCTGCCATCTCATTATGCGTCTTGTCACCGATTGACGACTCTGATACCGAGTCGCAATACGATGTCACGGCGGGAATTGACCAGTTACAATGGATGATCATTTAAAGCCGGACAAACAGCGCATTACATTAATTGAGTCTAGAGAGTAAATCATGTAAACTTGAAGACTCCAACGTACCAACGGATGTAGTATGTATCCCAGTACGTGAAACCATTTGTTCAGGCCTGGGCCCGTTGGCTGAAAACGCCTTTCTCCTCCGCCCGCATAACGTTGGGCTGCGGATCGCCTCGAAGACCCGGTGCTGACTCGTCAGGGAGTGTGTAGGCCAGTGCATGAAGGAGGTAAACCGCGAACGCTGCGGCGAACCTGCAAACAATTAGTAATTATACAGTTCTTGGAGTGTTCGAATGTCAAAAATACACCGTGACGAGGCTGATAATAGGCGGCCCATGCCTCAAATTCATCTTCTGGCTGCTCCAGCCCTGGTCTTGGCTAATTTCCCTCGCCAGCAGGACACCAAATACGAGTCTGGGATCATTAGCAGCGCACCTTGATGGTTTGTTCCGGACGGACATACGATTTAACGCCGTAAAGGGATATCGTGACGACCACGTAAGTCAGCCTAAGAAGCACGCTTTTGCCTGGCTTGAGACTCAGGATGAAATAGGTTGCCAAAATCAGTAGAGGCATAAACACTGAAGACTTGAAAGACATTAGCAGGGCTTTGAATCTCGAGCACCTAAGACATACCACAATGCAATGTGCCAACTCTACTGATGTTTTCGTCACACCTCGAGTGTAGCTCACTGAAGAGACGATGAGACCGGTGATACCGAGGACGAGAAGAACGCCGTTTCCCAGTGACGAAATGTTCCTGCAGTGAATCACATCCTTGTCAAACCTCTCTGGTTCTTCCAACTGTGCAACCAGCTCGCGGCGCCGCATTGTGATTTCTGGTACAAGGGGTGTTATGGTGCTGAGGTGTTGTGTAATCAGGTTGCTTCGACCTATTGGAATGAAATTCATGAACGAGAGATTCCGACATGGGACGGTCGCGAATGAAATATACAGCTGATGTCACCTTTATGGTTGATTCGGTGAAGTCACGCGTGATTAAGATTTTATAGGTGACGACCTGGCTGCATATGGCTGAGAACCTCGCTGCTATCGGTCCGAAGGTTTGCGGCAATGCTTTAAATAGAAACCCGTGTCAATATTTCTTCCTGACCAATACACAACTCTTGGTACTCATTGATCTACATAATTATTCACTCAAGTTGCCGCCTTCAATAGGGTCATCATTGCTTCGATGGCAAAATCAACGTAAAGCTCGACTTCGCACATAGTACGATAAGTCACGAGGTGACGGGAATTACACCAAACAACAGTGGGGTAATTGAAGCTGTTACCAAAGTCCACGCTGATCTTCCATAATATTTGTAAACCTTCTGAGACGAATCCCAGCTAGTTCAGGAGACCTCGCCTAGTAAGCGGAGCGTCAGTCACAGCGGCGAAGGCATGCAGTAAGGTCACGATAGGGGAGGGGTGCGGTACTGTCTCAACGGCCGAGTTTCCAAGGCGAAGTTTATGCCTGCGACAGCGGCCGTCATCATCATTTCGTTAGACGCATACGGGAAGAAGTCTCCGAGTTCTTATGATCGATCTAGTGCATTTTTTAACACGTACTCTGGTAAGAAGACCAACATCTGTACACTAACAAATGATTGCATTTTCGAACCATGTGCTAAAGTGGTCCCACGCAGCCCATATCTCCTGCGAAGGTGACTGACAACGCACGAAATGGCGGTCAATACTAACAACACCTAAAGCATCTACTGTTTGGTTTTGCAAAATTCCGTCATCTTTCTATTTTTCCGGCTGTTCTGTGGAAACTTTATCTTCCCCCGAAGAATCTTCAGACGGTTCCGTTGGACCGTTACCGGCAGCTTGGGCAGCAAACGCTTAATCTTTTAGATTAGTATCCGATGGGCTCAGTTGTGTAGTGCATCCTTCTGCCCAGTCTCTTCATCACAACAAACTACGTCGTCAATCTTTTGACATAAAGCATACACCTTGGCGGATTGTTCCTCAATACACAAGATCTTCCTTATCAGCCTAATCCAATTTCGCAAATTCCATACGCATGTGTGGTGATAAAAGGCCATGTTCCATGAAGCTTCTTGATGCTTTAAGCTTTAAACTTCGGGCCCCTCCGAACAACCTCCGCCTAAAGTTTCGCCCTACTCCGCGCATGCCGATGAGTCTAGAATTCAATTTGAAACACACATTCAACCCCAAAAGCATTCACGTAAGCATACCTCATTTACTCATTTTAATTTCCTCGGGCGTTATTTAGATCCATAGCGTTGCAAATTTCACATCGGACAGTTGCGTATCTTCGAGCAACATGTTCTCATTTGTTGCCGTCTTATTGTTTTTCATCATTGGCAATTCGGAAGCCGGTCCGTATCCCCGCGATAGCGTCGATAGATTGCAAGATATCGGCCTAGAAAACTTGGAGTCTCATTTGGCCAGACTTCCACGAGCGTCTGGGTGCTCTCTTGACACAGCCATCAAAAGAAAGGAATGGTCAGTCGTTGCTAGCGAGAACTTCTGCCAGACTGACACCCAGACATGAAGGTCATCTCTCACAATCGACGAAAGGCTGAACTACATCAATGCGACCAAATGCCTTGCACAAAAGCCGCCAAGGTATTCGATGGACGAGGTTCCTGGGACGAGAAGCCGATACGATGACTTTGTGGCAACACATATACAGCAGACTTCGAGTATTCACTTCACCGTAAGACCGAATTTCTAGGTACGCGGTTGCCATGAGGTCTTTTAACACTATTTGTGTAGGCAAAGTTTCTTTCTTGGCATAGATATTACGTGTTCGCGTATGAGCAAGCACTAAGAGACGAGTGCGGATACCGAGGCTACCAGCCGGTGAGTATTCATCCTATCCGGTCTGATTTTCCAGATCACTGATGCCGAAAAGTATGAGCATTGGCCATACTATTCTTCAGATCCGCGGAACTCCCCTATTTTCAATGGGAACGATAGCAGTATGTCGGGCGATGGTGCCAAGGTTGCGCACAATGGCATACCCTTCGGAAATATCACAATCCCACCAGCCAACGGTGGCGGCTGCTTACTAGGAGGTCCATTTAAGGAGTACGTCATGCTACCTTCACAGACTGTGTGTAGAATCATCGATTATACTAACCTCTATCGAAGCTTTGAAGCGCATCTTGGGCCGGTCGCATCCCGGCTCAAGGACGTTCCCTTAAATCCACGGAAAGACGGGCTTGGATATAACCCCCGCTGTCTGCGACGTGACATTAATCCCGAATCTTCGAAATTCACTTCAGAAACTTACACCTATGATCTTATCACCGAGAACAAGGACATACATTCGTTCCAGACCTTGATGCAGGGCGATATGCAAAGAAGCAACCCCGGCGTCCACGGAGGAGGACATACCACGATAGGTGGAGATCCAGGTGGTGTACGCAATTCCCATTCCTCTGCGCCGAGTTTATCAGTTTCCGAGTGTCAATCTGGCTGAATCATTCAATCGTCAGGATCTTTTCAACTCCCCAGCCGATCCGGTCTTTTGGCTGCACCACGCCATGATTGACAGAACCTGGTGGATCTGGCAATTGCAGGATCTCGATTCTCGACTAACTGCAGTGTCTGGGACGACGAACATGAAGGATCCTACAGCACCCAATGGCACACTTACTGACGATATTGATCTATCCGTCAATGCGCCGAAGATGAAACTTGGCGACTTATTAGACACGATGAATGGGCCGTTTTGCTATGTTTACGTATAAATGACCAAGTAATGCTCCCACCTGCAGGGCTCAGGTACTTGATCCAGCCACAGCTTGAGACTTGTTAGCGTCACTTGCATTTTGATCCGCTTAGACTTCAAGGAATTCAATTGGATCTTAGCCCTATCTATCACGACGTTTATCAGCCGCGCACAATACGCGTCAGTCTGGACAAATCCCAAGCGCCTGTTGCGGACGTAAACGAAAGTAGGTTTGGTGAACAAAACATGAGTTTCTCTTAAGCAAATAAATCAAGTTTCATGTCGTCATCCGACCGTTCAGCAGACTCTTCAACGGACTCCTCGGTAGACTACCCAGTCGCATCGCCAGTGAACGTCTTAGTGGCCTTTCTGCGTGCTGGTTGAGCCTGGAGGTTTTCTGAGCTTTTTCCAAATGTGTTGTCCAAGAATTTGTCAATCATGCCACTAAGCAACGCGCTCTGATTGCCTTCTTCCCTTGCCACCTCGTCGGCCAGGGCTTGTTCTCTTATGTCAAGTTCTTCCCGCAGCCGGCAAATATCCTCCATTTCTATAGCTACGCGCTCTGCAAGCGCGGCCTTGGCGGTTTCTTTGATCACGACTTGTGAAACGATCTCATTCGTGAGCTCTCCGATTTGACCCGCGCCAACATTGTTGCGAAGACCTTCAACTATCGTCATAGCCGGCTCTAGCATCCCCAAAATGTCGTCCAAAGTGATCTGACTCATCTGACTACAGGCCTGTTGCAACGACCTTGCCGATTTGAATGCATCAATTATTGCGTCTTTGGAGACAAAGTGCATTGCGTTCGTCGGAAGCTGATAACAAGGTACCCCGGGGGTAACATTTAATGTAGTGGAGCAACCTGCTGGGTCGCACTGACGGGCTTCAACATCATGGAGCATTTTTGGAATCCAGATACTCATGAAGTTGAAGCAGCTCTCATTCAATATTGACTGTAAGGTCATGAGTAGCCGACGCTGCGTGTTGTAGGGAATCGGCGTTGTACTCGATTGTATACTAGTTGGCAGCCCCGCTTTCGGTAATTGTCCAGGTTTTGCAACTGTCGTCGTCAGGACCTGAAAATCTCTACGCATGGATGAGGTATTTCGGGATGTGCTCTTACGTGTTCCAACTTCTTTCTCACATTCTGCACTGCCTATGTTGCTTCCCGAGTCCCAGTCTGGCGTTCTTACGATGTGAATATCGTCATCGGCAGAAAACGCATTGCCGTCGAGGTCGACCGCAAGCGATGCAGTCATGTCAGTGTCTGAGTGAGTGGTGCCACCTTCCACCCCTTCATTTGTCTGGAAAGCATCCGGGAACCTGGCATGTGCTTTTGTCTCATCCGCGAAGACCCTGTCTTTCAAGAGATAAAGGGCGATTTTGGTGACTTTTTCCTCGCCCATGTCGCGTACGACAGATACCACCAGTGATCTGTTCCGTTGTAGGGCATTCTTCGTTTTACGCAACCTTCGTATTTTCGCGTCACGACCTTTGAAAATAGAACGACAGGCAATATATACCTGCTGGCACTCTCCGAAACTGTAGAGGTCTGCCATCGTACATCTCAGAACGTAAGAGACCTCAAATATTGCGTTTAAAATCTGAATCGTTACGGTATGAATACAGAATCGGAAGAAATGAGGACAGATGTTGAACTTTCTACTTAAGACTCGCTAGAAAGTGGAAATCATGGACCATGACAACGTATGGCCCCCGTGGTCGGCCTCCGACAGTTATGACTTCACAATGTGAGACCTGCCCAATGACAGCAAAGAAATAACACATGAAATTTTCCAGTGCCTTCGTCCGTGCTCAAACAAACTAACTTGGAACTTTGAGCCCATCAGTCATGGTATGGGACACAGGGTACAGCATTTCGTCAACGTCAAGCTGAATCTTCCATGCCAACCGAAGGCTGATTCAAAGTCAAAACTAGTGGTACAAACAGCTGCACATGAATGCTTCGGAAGCTGAGCTTTCTTCATTCCACCATCTTCCAGGCGACAAACTGCGAAGAAGAAAAGTAAGAAGGGAAGAAGGCTTGATTCCACCGCAGTAACAACTTGAAAATCAATCCATGCGTGCATCTCAAAAACGCACGAGCGAAAGCAGCGCCATTAGGATAGATTTGCCTTAGGTCAAGGCTTTCGTCATGAAAAGCCATTAAACTCTCGTGAAATTGGGTTCTCGACATATTATCAAGCGTGTTCGTTTCAAGTCTTTCGGCTTTTCTGCACCTGCTCGAAATTGCTTTCCAAGTACGCCTCAATCTTTTGGCTCAAGACAGCCTTTTCCTCAGTCCTCTTCTCTAGCATTTCACAGGTGAGTAAATCCTCCTTCCTGTCTATCTCTTCTCTTTGGCGACGAATGTCTTTGAGTTGCGACGTCAAACGACCGCGCATCTCACTTCCAGCTGCCTCCGATGTTTCCACTCTTTGTTCAATTTCCTTCTTGAGACCCCGAATCCTTTTTGCCCCAGTATCGTTGCAGAGTCCTTCAGCTATCGTTGTAGCGGAGTCCAGGATGTTATAGATTTCCCATAGGTCCAATGCGTTTTGTTCCAATATTGCTTCTCGAAGCTCCTTGGCCGAGCGGAAGGCTAGCCGGGTACTTTGGGCGGAACGGAATGCCAACGCATTGCTTGGAAGTTGATAACAGAGTTTCTTGTCAGCGGCAGTAGTCAACGGCGAGTCTCCTGCAGATGCACCCTGAGGGCGAAGGTCGTGTAAGATTGCCGGGATCCACTGGCTAGCGAAGTCGGCGTAGCTCTCTTCAAGAACGGTCTGGACATTGACCAAAATTTCTCGCTGCGTCTTGAATGGTAAGAACCATATCATCGAATTCGGATACAAATCGCGGAGGGAGATCGATGCATCGAGGGAACCACGTCGAGACTTTCCCGCAAGGTTATCTGGGCCTGTTCGTTCCTATTAGCACTGGACGCTTCTATTAATATGCCGAATGTCAGCAGCTGTAAAATCACCTTCCATAGTCCGATTGGGGGGCTCGATCTCTGGGCTGATGTTTTTGAGGTCGTCATGAAGAGGCCAGACATCGCTGGTATCTTCCGTGCTATCTGTGAACGGGGGGGCATGCTCAGTAGAGGACTCAGATGGAGATGCTGGTATACTTTCAATTGTCCAAAATTCGGGGTTATCTCCGTGCATTGACACAATCTGTGAGATTTCAAAAATATCAGTTTGTACCTGCCGTGAAGTCGACTTCTTCCAACTATATTTGCTCATAAGGTGCTCGGCAGTTGGGATGATTTTGGCCGTCCGTGTAAAGCAGTGAATTAAATGGAATAGCGTTTCATGACCAAGAAAGTGCAGGCACATACCCTAAATTCCTTTTTGGCCTTGGGGGCCTGAACGCCCATGATGTTTAAATAGCAAGCCGAACCACTCTAGAAGTACGAAGTCGTACTGGAGTCAATGGCGTATGGTGGGAACATGACAAGCCTTTATAAGTCTTGATCTGGTGCTAGTCGTCATTACTGGCGATAGGCGGTGGCGTCCATGTCTAGACTAGCGTATTCGGCCTCCAGCAGCGGATTCATGTGTTGAGGAACATGCCCAATCATATCCATCAAATTTTCACACGCTTCATTGAACGCCCCGCCCTTAGATATCTAACGCATCTCTTCAAACCCATCTCGTTTCTTCACATTTGATGGATCCCTCTTGACCTCCGTCGGACAGCATCACACTATACCTCAGTCAAGTTTATATGTAGACAACCATATCAGAGCGGTTCAACCTATAATCCTGGTTAAGTATGCTTGCCCCTCAAGTAATCTACATTGAATCCCGCACTATTCGTCATAGGACCATTCACTTTTTCCTTTGTCCTCTTGACCACTTCGGCGAACCTGGTCTTTAGCCGACACATAACCTCATCTTCGGGTTTTCCATACGAATCACACAGCTTCTCGAAAAGGCTTTGCCAATTGGCGAAGTAACTGCGTGCTAACGTCTTCATCGTCTTCACTTCCTTGGGATCAAGCAAACCAGACTCATACATCTCTCTCGTCGCACGGAGACGGTCCGGGGCCATCTCTTCAAATTCGTCAATAAGTTGCAGCAAGGATGAAATGAGGAATTCCCGGTACCAATCGACGCATGGATGAAATACTCTTTCCAGAATCTGCCTCAGCAGGATCCCGTCAGCACTCGTAGAATCAAAGTTAGCGTAACGAGGATGAAATGCTTGCACACCCCACAAGGTGTACCGGTCCCAGCCGATGGGCATTGTCGAGCCGTCCAGGTAGATGGGTAACGCCAAACCCTCCATCGCGTTTTTGACACTCGAACATAGTTGATTGGCGAGAGAACTTTTGGCTGCCCTCCATATCACCTTATCAACCTTAAAACGACCTCTCGTTGCGCACTGACAACATACCACAACCTTCAAAGTAGGACGTAACTTGTCGAATATCTCTTCGAGAAGTTTGTAAGAGGCTTCGACAGCTTCCCATCTTCTGTCTACGTCCATCTCCTCCAAATCTTGGTCGCTGAAAAAGCTGCAAACGTCTACGACGGGGACCAAATTGAGCGAAAGACCAATGTTTTCCAGCTCCTGTGAAAGCCAGGAAATTGTTGGACATTGCCTCATTTCCTCAAAGGGTTTCCAATGCGAGGGTGCCGGATTTTGAAGTAAAATTATTGGAAAGTGAGAAAATCCCCGTAGAAGTTGAGCAAAGTTGTTCCATTGCTCAGGTCCTATGTTCCATTCGGTCCGAAACCTTTGTACTGGTTCAAATACGGCGTGGTCTTCCGTAATAAATTCAGGTTCATTGACGTCCACTTCCCGACAAGCGTTCTGGAGAGTGGTTCGTATGGCACAGTCCGATTCTGTGAGCTCCGATTCTGCGGGCCCCAGTTGAGTCTCCGATTCGCTCCCCGATTCGGTCACCGATTCTCTGGTCTCATCAATTGTGACTTTTCTGAATGGCTCGACCAACGATTCTTGAGCTTTATAATATCAGTCAGTAATGGCTCCGAGCAGCAAAACAGTTGCGTCCAATGAACACACATTCTTCTTCCTCATGAAACTCTTCTTCGAGCGACGCCATTGTTATCAATATGTCGCGGTAATGGGTCTGATCGAAATATTGACAGGATGCTTGCATGAAATTCTAAAATCTTAGTGAGCTTCGAGGCATTGAAAATGGAGCGGAGTGGGACGAAACTAATTATTGGTTCCCTTCCGGCTTGAGAGGTAAATGCCCACAGTCTTTCTGTGATTCACCGTGATCGAATGCAATTAACACTCGTGGACTAAGGTAAAGCTTGAGCAAATAAAATTTGACAGACGGAGGTAACTGAGCCGATCGAGAAGTCACCCGCGGGGCGGAGTACTGGTGATGGTATCAGGGCGTCAAGCGATTGGGCAATCCACGCCAACCTGATGGCCTGCCCGATCTGCAATACCAAAGTTATCCCAACCCATGGGCTTACCATCTCTTCCAATGACTGTGCTGGATGTAAGGTCGGGAGATGACAATGCACACCTCGCTACCAAGGCTTGAAGCTTGACAAGGATGAGACGTGTAGCTTCTATCTCGGTTTCATGGGGCAGAAAGTCTTCCAGCATTTTAACTTTGATAACGACTTACTTGACAGCCATACATCTCATCAGATTGCGTTCTGTATCAGTGCCCCATCTGCCATTCCTCCATTATCCCTGTAGGATATCTCGGCAACACATCCGGGCGTGACAAAGTTCCAATCGACCGCGATGACGACAAGCTCAACAAATTGACAAGCGGAGTAATATGAGGATATGTCAGAGAAGCTCGTTCGGGAGCAGCGTGGAGAATACCTTGACACAATGGTATAAATATCGATATCATCCTCGGGTGTCGATAGTGACGAATTGATCCAATGTAGCGTCGCGGTTGCGGGAGGAGGCAGTACGACTGGTGAGGATGTACAATCTTTCAATGGACAATAATTGTGCGACACTTCGCTGCATTCTGTTTGGGCCTTGATCTAATCACGACACAGTACCCGAAGACGAGGTCGATGCCAGCGCCCGAGAGGATAGTGTCTTCTCGACCAGACTACTCGCAGAGTTGGACATCGATCTGTCCCTTTCCAATGGGTACTCGGAGGCCCCGCCTCTGGCAGAGACCCTGGATGACATATGGACGGATGAGAGTTGGGACAACGATGTTTTCAACATGGGATCTTTCGACTTAACGAGCAGCCAGAGTTACATTTTTGAGGACTTCGGCCTGGATGATGAACTACAAGGTCTTTAGGCCTTTCATCAATTCAGTGACAGCATATCCTCCGAGGAACAAACTCTGGCCTCGGGTTCGAATCTGATTGACCTTTCTCTGCCGCCACACGGCTTTGCGCGCACTATTGAAGTCCCCCGAGCCAATGTCCTTCTCCAGGATGGATCACGTGTGGAATTTGAATCGATTGAATTTGATGAACAGGGAATTCCCGACATCCCCGATGAACTGGGCCACCTGGCTGATGTATACTGGTGCACCTGGCCAAGATGCTGCAGAAGTTTCAAAACTCCAAGCAGCAGGAGGTAAGCAACAGACAGCCCGTTTTAGACACGCACGAAATATCTAAATGTGGGCGAAGGAAGCATCTCCGGACTCATTACAAACCGGTCTTGTGCGCCTATCCGAGATGCCCGAGTACATCGGCTTGGCAACGGGATATGAAAAAACATTTCATGTCCCACTTCAATTTGCCCCGTTCGGTCTGCCGGTGTGGCAAGATGTTCACCAAAGTGGATAACCTCAAAAAACACGTCAAACGCGCCCTCGAAAAAGAGGGCCACTGAAGTGTTCAGTCATTTTACCACCAATTTTCCTTTTATTGCTCCCTGTCACTACTGAGGTTTGGGACGGACTTTTGCTATTTTACATCAAAACAACTCTCTTTACCAAGAATTATCCACATATAACCAGGAAATACAAATTGACTACTGGGAAACTTTTATCGAGACGTGAGAATAAGTGACTAGATCTGTACACCGCTCCCTGTATCGGAATCTTCTCCTGCGCTTTCATCCTGCAGAGAGATTTCCGAAGCTTGGGCAGCCAAACCATCTTCATTGAAACCTGCTACCCAGAATGTCAGCTGCGTACCAATTTTATCTCCAAGTTTGACTCGTACCGGTGTCTGTTTCACTACTCTCATCTTCCAATACGTCTGTGCCTGAGTCTGTGGCATCTTGTTCATCTTCCATAATAGTCGAGAACTGAGATACCGAATCGGGATGATTCAGACTCGATATATGACGCTGGGAGATCTGATCCAGCACCATTCTCTTAAGATCCTGGATAACTGCGTTGATTATCTTGCGCTGATCAAGCCACCTCTTGTCCTTGGCACCCGCGGGAAGCTGGAGTACTCCCCAATTAGGATACGTCTTCTGATGACAGTCGAGGAGGGCGATGTTGGCGGGGTGATTCCGGAAATAGGAGTTACAGCAGATGCATGCAAACTTGCTGCAAGCCACGTAACGATCTCCCGCTGCGAAGGTGCGCTGGTCGTCGTGGAAGTGGTGAAGCATCTGGATTTCCGCGTGGACGCATGGTTTCAGAGTTCCGGGCTCTTGCGGGTCAAATCGATCACGAAGACGCCTCTCAATGTTTACTTGAGGCTCCATATGAGACAGGTAGGTTAAGTATGTCTCGTAGCGCTCATCTCCCGCTGGAAGTAGACGGATGAGAATACCTCTGAGGGTCATATGGTCATCGATTTCTGGGACCGTCGCGGCCTCCGGCTTGGGAACCCTGTCAACACGGTATGACTTGAGCAGAGAGTGAAGACGGTTGGCATCATCAAACAGCTGTGAGATCACACGAACATGAGCTCCGAGACTGCTGATCATGTGATGTACGTCGCGGAATGACTGCATTTCGTTCCTGGAAATTACGCCTTCCTCCATCTCTTGGCCCAGTTGCTCAATGAGACGCATATGGTGGTCATGGCGGACGCGGTAAGCCGTAAGACAAACGAGGACGTCGTCGTCGCCTGCTTCCTCAAAGCGGTTGAGCCAAACACTCAATGTCTCTGTTCTATTATCAGTCTCTTGAGCTAGAAGACCACCGAAAGTCTGACAAACCGAAAATTTGATGGACTCTGAGTGTTTGGACGCATCTTCTCGCTGCGCTTTGCAGGATTCGTGACTCTTTGTGGAGACGACGAGTCGCAAATTCCAGACAGTCGGTCATCAAAGTTCGCTCTGTCGCACGGCGGCCATCTGGATGTCCATTGTGATGTTTCAACAGCTTGAGGACCCCGTTGAGAAACTCCACGACATTCGCCTTGGTTCCTTCATTTGAAGATATCCAGAAGATGTAGCCATCGGCAGTATCTTCAACAGAGATGGCAGTCGTAGTCT